GTCGTCGTCGTCGTCGGTCGGGNGGGGGGGGGGGGGAGCTGGACGTCAGGTCGAGCCTGGGGAGGGAGGGGCCCATGGCGGCTGCTTGCGAGCGTCGGATGCCATGTTGAGTATGCTTAACGATTCGAGATTCCCAGCGTCCAAGAGCGTTCGTCGACAAAAGAAGAACAATGGGTACCGTTTAGCAGGACAAAGGAGACAACTTAGCTCAGTAAGGCAAGAGAATTGACGCTACTAATCTGTTTTAACTTCAGCTGTTGTGCCCGGTAGACTGAGGTAGAGAAGCGAAGGTGGGTGCTGCTGGTTTCAGTGCGTTGGTTCCGGTGCGTCGTACCCAACTTCCAAACCAGTTGTTAGCTGACCGGCTAATACGCCGTACCTGACCGCTGAATCCTGTTAGCGCATACGTAACCTGCCCGTTGTCGAGCCTCCAAGGACCTACACCAAACCATCTCTCTCCCTCGGAATCGTTCGCAGGGCCAGGAAATCCAAGGCAAAACGCAAAGGCGAATCGAATTGGCTAGATACATACTACAAAGACGGTAAGCTGAAAAGAGAGACATCAAACCAGCACAAGCCTGACCGCTGCCCCGGTCCTTCAAAACATCGTCGCGTGTTGACCCCGCCCAGTCTAGGCGAGTGGGTTGCACACCTCCTCCCCCTTCCTTCTCAGGCGCTCGAGCGGTCGACCAGCAACAAAGGTTGTTTTTTTCTTCTGCTTGCCTGGGCGCGGGCTCAGGCCCGAGCGGTCGAGGGACCATGACGACATGACATATGCGGGGGGAATACAATGGGGGTGGGAGGTCATCAAGGGTTCTCGTCGCGCATAAATTCCAAAATCCCACGCGCAAACCCTTATGGAAATCATCTCTCACCAACCTGAAGCTGATCGACCCAAGAGACGGCACAAAAAGAGAATGAGAGCGAGAAAATCAAGTGCTATTCACATTTTTTTTGTGTATCCCAGAAAGAGAGGGGGAGAGTACAAGAACCTGATGCTAGAAGACTTTTTCGTTCCCTTCGGGGCGGCGGTGATATTAAGTCTAATAGTGGGATCCTGACTGTGGCAGCTTCCACTATGACCGGGGGTAGGAGAGATGTGTTGTATGACCAAACGAAGTCCAGAGCAGTAAGAAAACACTTGGATGATTGATGACCGTGAAAACGAAACACAAGAGAATCAGCGTAATGGAAAAGAGAACGCCTCCGTTTCCTAGCCTGTGACACAAGGTTGCAAGTTTCATCCCCGTCCTCCTAGGAACAACAATCGATGTGGCGGCGATTCAAAAAGCAAATAGGCGACCCAGCCGATTACAGCATGGATGCGACACCAGCAACAAGCGACAGACCAAGCAGAGCCATGTTGATGGTCATACCCGTGGCCGAGTTGGGGTTCTTGGAGCCGCCGGAGTTGGGGTTGTTGATGTCCTCGTTGGCCTTGTCGTTGTTGCTCTCGCAGGTGAAGGGACCCTGGATCTTGTTGTCACCGCCGTCTTGGGTGCGTGCGTGGGCCTTAAGAGAGTTGCAAGACTTCTTGATGTCCGTCGTGCTCTGAACGTCGAAGACACCCTTCACGAAGGCGCCCGAAGCAGAGTCCATGGAGGGAAGCTCGACACTGGAGGAGGTAACAAGAGTCAGCAAATGAATTAGGCCAAGGGATTATAGGATGATACTCACGCGCTGAAGTTGCCACGAAGGCGGACAGCGCCTCCAACCTGCTGGAGCTTGGGCATGGTATCCAGGCGCTCGAGAGCAGTGTTGTTGGCAATGGTGAGCGAGCCGCCAACCGTGGTAAGCTGGGGGAACGAGATGTTGGAGAGCGCGGCGTTGCCGACGAATGAGATGTCGGCACCAGCCTTTGTCAGGTTGGGGGCGTCAAAGCTGACGATCTTGTTGGTATCAAACCGGAGCGAGCCGTTGATCTCCTTCACCTTGGGCACAGTGAAGGTGGAAACGTTGGCGATCGTCAGGTTGGCAGCCCACAGCAACTCGGGCATCTCCCACTGCAGCTCGTTGCGGCCATTGGCCTGAAGCTTCAGCAGGGTGGTCAGGTTGGCAAGCTTTGAGACGTGCTTCAGCAGGCGACCGTTGTTGTTCAGGTCCATGAAGTCGACGGTGACCAGGTTAAGGCCATCGAGAGAGTTCAGGAAGGTGTCGCTGATGATGACCTTCTTGGCCTTGGTGACACCAACGGTGCCAAAGCCGAGCCCGGCAAGCTGGGGCAGTGTCTGCCATGCGATCTCGCCCACTTCGCCGAGGCGATCGAACTTGAGAGTGTCGAGCTTCTCCAGACTTGCCAGGGTGAACTTGCCCTTGATGGTCTGGATGGTGTCGCTCTCGAGGCTACGGAGGTTCTTGTTGCCCTGCACCGTCAGGTCACCCTCAATGGTGGTGGGTCCCGAGAGCTTCAGGGAGTTGTCGGTCTGGTTTCCGATGTTGATGCTCTTGACCGTCCGGCAGCTCTGCAGGTTGGAGGCGTCCGCATTGGAGTTGATCTGGATGGTGTCTTGGCTACAGAAGTTGCTGTTGCCCTGGGCTACACATGAAGTCACGATCCGTTAGCATACTGCAACGCAAGGGACAAGATATTGCGAGAAAACGGGACCTACCAGAAACAACAGCCGCAGCCGCGACGGCAGATACAAAAGCCTTGGCGATCATTTTGTCGGTTTGTGTTCTGAAAGGCGGGAAATGTCAGCGCTGCGGTCCAGGTGCGGTCAAGTATGGCGCGGTCTCCAGAATTCACTCCCGTGGGATCGTGGTTTGTGACGAATTGTGCGGTGCCAGTGGTATGTCTACAAATGGGATGGATGTTGACCAAGAAACGGCCAAAAAAGCGAGTTGATATTATGAATGTGTGGTGTGGTGCTTTGGGGAGAAGGCCAGCGTCGGTCGGTGGTGGAATAGCGGTTGGTTTTTTTTTTTGTTGCGGACCCAAGACGAGGGGTGGCTTCTCGGCAGGGGCGAAGAGGCGTGGAGGCAAAGGCCGAGGCGGTTGGGAAGGTGACCGGTCCAGACTCAGGCGGTTTCCTTCACTCGCAGTCACTCCGAACAGCAACTGGTGGCGTGTGCGCGTGGATGCTCCGTCCTGCCTTCCACATTCGCCTTTTCCATTGCCGGAAGCATACCATCTGTCTTCCCAGACTGCACCGCCCGGTCGAAGCGTTGCCCATCGTCGGTCGATAACGGTCAAGGAGGCAGGTGTGATGGAGTGTGGTGCGGGTGGGCGCGGTTTCCGTGTCGAGGTGCCAATGGGATCATCATAACTTTGCCGGCTGCTTACCTTATTTGCCCGTTTGGAGCCAGGCGTTACAGTTGACTCTGAGGTTATACCGATGACTCGGATGTGGTTGAAAAAAGCGTGTTGGGGGTAGCAACGCCCTCGATTCTCCTCACTAGGTAAGTTAAAGCCTCCGGGAAAAAGAAAAAGGTGGACGATTAAAGTAAGTAGCGAGTGAATGTCGTAGAATCAGAAAAGGAATGGGGGAAGAATGCCCGGCGAACGATGGGGGTTTGTAATGAAGAAAAAGGCAGATGTGGCTTGTGCTCGCAGAACAGGCAGGCGAAGAGGTCCGGGAGGGAAAACACAGAGGGAAATTGAACTGAGAGGGCGCGTGGAGTTCGGCAAGGGCCAAGAAAATGCGAAAGGGGAGGTTAAAGTTGGATGGCGACCACTTGCAGAGCAGCCGCGCTAGCAACGTGCCAGGGGTGGGCGATGGCTGCATTACGGTTACGGCCACCCCACCCACTCCCTCGCCCGATCCCTGCCCCTGCCCCTGGCCGGTGCGGTGCGGTGGTCTCCACCTGCGGCCATCATCATCCAACTCGACCTGCTCCCGCTTTTCCATCCGCCGCCGTATGATAAGCTGCATGCTTTCCACGCTTCCTGGCTGCTCGTGAATATCATTGTGACAGCGGCAGCGCACTGTCGGTGCAGTCCAAGGCCCCATCAAAGCAATATCTGCATTTTGCACAGTCATTTCGCATCTGCTGACGGACAAGTGGGAACCGTCGCCTCCCGCCTGTCCATGCTTTTTGTTGCTGTTCTATTTTCTCGACCCTCGCAAGTCTACGCGGCCCTTCCTCCTCCTGGCCCCTCATTGGCCTTTCCGGCTCGTGGGCTCCTTGTTTTCGGCCACTCTCTGAAAGCCGGTCGCCCCAGCACGCACTTCTGGGGATCGGCCGGCCCAGGATCCAGTCAAATGTGCCATCTCGCCGTGTTTGTTTTGTTTACACCAGGTGACGGGCTCGGGAGGGATTGCATTATCCATGGCACATTCTGTGAATTGCTGCTCTGTCCAGTTTTCCCCGATATCTCCTCCCCCAGCCGTGCCCCAGTCCCAAGGACGACGGACATTATGGATCACCGACGACACCTGACATGGTTTGGGGCGATGTCGTTTGGGGCGGCTTCGGGCACAAAAACAAACGAAACCCGCTGTCAAACCAACGCCTGACTCGGCTCTTCGTCGCCGGCTACCTAGTCTCAGGGGGTTCCTCCAAGAAAGAAAATGACCCCATGGGATGGCCGTTCCAGGCGACGATTCCAGGGCTAGGCTGCTGAACTGTTGTGGCGCACCTGCTGTCGGCTTGGCCTTGGGTTGCCAATGCCGTCGCTAAGCTAGGTACAGAGGCTGCCATCGATGGACTGGCACCAGGGACGCGTCCGCTGCCCGTGTGTCAGTGTGTGCGGTGGCGCGCCTGAAGAAAGCTGGACGGGGCCCCAATTTGTCTCTTTATTCTTTTATTCCCTCTCCTTTCGTGTTCCCATATGCACAGTTCAAGCCTGGTTTTTGGATTGGGGTGGATCCGATTGCCAGGCCAATATCGCGGGTTGCCCTGGATGGCGAGATTGCCTCCCTGGGCTCCCTGGCAAACCGTCGGTCAATCGTAAGAATTCTAACACCGACTTTTGTGACCGCTGAGGCGACCTCCGTGAAAGCACATTGCCAAGATCAGGCCTGGAAGGTGATCCCGCCGTCTCTATTTTTTGCTATGGAGCCGGAATTCTAGAAGTCGCAGCGCAATTGGAACAGGCAATGGTTTGGTTTGTCATGGTTGCTGCGGCGAGGGTGCAGACAGAGTCTTCCTTGCAATCAATTCCACCCACAGATACACACGCACACCGTATTGTTATTGTGCAGCGATTCCTTCCATCACGAACCACACGTTCTAAACATGGCAAATCCCATCGAGATTCCCTGTTCTTCCTCCCGCCCGTCCCAATGCATTCAGAGCCTGTGGGAGACACTGGCTTATTGGGAAGCTCATCATTGATAGAGGCGTGCCTTCCCAAAAAGGGAGGAGCCATCCATCCCTGCTGAGCTGCAGGAGAACAAGCGGCCCAGCTAACGACACTCCCCTGACTTATAATTGGCACGCCCCCTCTCTCTCGGCTGGTCTGAATGTCCGCTCTTGTTTCAACCAAACCCCGCCAATGCGATGCAAAATCAAGAAAATGCGAGGAAGCACAGTTAGCTACGTGAAAACGCAGCGAGCACAGCTGCTGGCAAGAGGATGAAAACGAAAAGGAAGACCTCAACCCGAAACTCCTCGTCGGCCTTGTCCGAATTGTGCCAATCCTGCCGCGACCTTGGACAGGACGCGTCGTCACTGCGGCCCGGAGTTTGTGCACGATTGCGGACCCACCGGCGGTGCTGCTCGAACTGGGCTTGGTGGGCAGAGGAATACGAAGGCCGTCAATGGCTCGCCCACACCCACTTGAGGGGGAGCGGACTCGACAGGCCGGGCCTATCAACTTGGCGGCCGACACAAAGCAGGTCTGGAACCTGGTGCCGAACCCGAGCAGCCAACCGGAGCAGGCTGTTCTGGCCCGACGCCGCTGAGCGCGCATCGCCAAGGTTTGGACCGCAAGCCAGAGATTTACATTTAGCTATCCTTTGACTCGTCTCTCGCGCCCAGGGCCGCTTATCCGTTTCTTTGGTTGCCGCTGTGGTGGTTTTTTTTTCTCTGGCTCCGTGGCTCCCCAACCGTCGGGTTTTGGAACTACGAGTTTTAGTGCAACGAAAGTTTGGATCTGCAAGCTCCCGCCGCTTGGCGTTTGGGTTGCTCCTGATCCTAGAGGAGGTAACAACCATGCGGGCTAATCCACGCTGTGCCATGACTGGAAGGATTCACACCTCCAAGGCTGGTCCGAAGACGAAGCTTCTCTTGTCCTGAAATGACCGATATCTACACCATTCGATCCCTTTCTTGACCTCGCTGCTAGGTAGCAGCCTCCCAAACCAGCCTTCCAAGACCCCCTCCCTTTCCACAGGTTTTATCTTACCCCCCTGCCTTCTCAATTCCTCTAGCCGGCGGCGGAGACGATCCGTCTTAAATCCGCCCGCGCTAGCAACATGACCACTGTCAATGAGGCGGCCGCCAATGCGTCCACCCCCATCCAAGCCATGTCTTGTCTTGTCTTGTCTCGTTGGGGCCGACACGGCCAAAAAGAACGAAAAGGGGGGAAAATATTGGGAAGATGCGAGCGTGACGGGAAGCCGGCACGCCACGGCGCAGTCGTTACGGTTACAATTCTAGATCGTCCACCCCTCGTCAGTGGGACTGTGTCCCCGCTGGAGCCGAGCAGCGACCTTGTGCGCTCGGCTAACGCTTCTCTTGTGCGCTGTTTGCTTGTTCGCTCTCGGCGGCCCTGTGTCTGTCTGTTCGTGTCTGTCCGACGCCAAAACGTGACACTGCCAACCCGGCCTGGCCGAACACCACCAGCTTTTTTTTTTTTTCTTTTTTTCTTCAAGGATGAGGGCGGCTATGACGACGACGAAGGGCGCTAGCATGGCGACGTTCGGGAGGCCGCGTCGGCTTGCCACCCACTCGCGCCGGCTCTTCCAGCAGGCGAACCGTCCGTCCGCAGCCTCAAGTGGATGATAGATAGCACGAGGGCAAGGCCAGAAGAAAGGAAGGCCTTGCCTCAACGGACACAAAGATTCAAACAAGACACAAGAATTTGGTTTCACTTTCAATTTTTTATTTGTTAGTTGTTTATTTACTTAAACTTTGTCATGCCAGCAGGGGAGGCTAGCAGGGCAACGGGACGCTCACACGACGGCCACCGCGGAGTCCAGCGGGCTCAACCTGCGACATCACCCTGCCCTGCCTGCGTTCCCTGCCGTGCGGCAGATCATCCCGTCAATCCCACACGCGCAGATCCGAAACAACGACACCGTCGGCCTTTTTTTTTCTCCTTCTTTCTTCTTCACCCATGTTCGTTCGTCCTCTTCGCCCTTCAACATCGCTCTCATGAAGATTGTGCATGCGTGTGTGTGTGTGTGTGTGTGTGCTAAGAAAAACGTGGTAGCCATCTTGCTGGCTGGTAATCTGTTCAGCACCCGGCTTTGCGATCTTCTCATCAACATCAGACCGACTTGATTATGAGTAAGGGCAGCCCAAGATGAGCTGAGACACTTGATCGTGGGTGTTGGCATGTGTTTCTGGTTTCCCTTGGCAGCTGCCTGGTACGGAGCCGGAGTGGCTTTACGCCGAAGAAACCATAGTAGGGAGAGCCTGGTGCCAGAGGGCTGCCCAAGTACGGGTAATCCTGCGCGACAGGACGCCGAATCTCTCAAGCCTTCATTTTCGCGTCGGTGCTTATCGGCCCGGTGTTCGGGTCGGAACAGTGGGGTGTCCGTCCCGACTCTAAAATCCGCCGCCGGAGAGCACGCATAGACATGACTTGGACATGCATTAATATGTAGACGCATGTTCGAATATCTCGGTCCTTGACTATGCAGTGTGGCTGCTGACGTCTCTCTGGTCCCTGACGTGAGTTTGTTGCACACACCTGTATCTTATATGGGCTGGCTGGATGACTAGACACCTTTTGGCCGCCGCCGAGCTCCTCCCGGGAGAGACAAGATCTCCAAGCTATCGACGGTGGCCAAGAGGCAAACGTTTTGCCCACCGGCTCGGCTAGCCGCGGTGCCCGCTCGTTTCCACGCGGCCTGTGGCCGGCGAGGCGGGAACGATGCACGCGGCCGATGCCACGGCCGCCCGCCCGCGTGACATGACGTCCAAAAACGGAGCAGCCGGCCTCCCCGGTTGTGAGAGCAGAGACGGGCCGCGGCGTGGCCTGGTGGGGCAGGCATGTGAGAAGGCTAGAGGAGCAAGTTCTGGCGCTCGCCATCTGCGTGACGTCCGGCTCGCCCACGAACACGAGTGAAACCCATAGAGACAGATATGGCATGTATCTTGAGTGTATCAAATTGAGTGCCGATACGCCATTGCAGGTCTTTTCCTTCTCGGCCAATTGCTCCCTCCTCAAAGGGGATTGGCCCTGAGATTTCGTTCCCTCATCAGAAGCTTGGAGGCCTACAGCGCTCAAGGGCATGGCCAACTGTATAAAGGCTGTGAGGTTGCTTTACACAAGATCATATGAATGTCTAAACAGCCGTCCTGGCACCATCTGGTCTATTCGCGCCACATGACGGATCTATTTAAACTAACAAACACCAGCCCACCTTCTGCCGTGAACCGGCCACTCTACTCCATAGTGCTCACGTCAGTCTCCTCAACCCGCCACATGTACCACATGAACAAGCTCCGATACGGCTTGAACCGGTCCGACAGCTCCCGCATGTCGGCCTCGTTCATGTACTTCCACTTGCCTCCCTTGCCCGCGGCCTTGAGCTTGGCGACGTCGCGCCCGACAAAGGCGGCCATGCCGCGCTGGACGCCTAGGTCGCCGAGGCTGAAGACGTCCATCCGCTTCAGGGCGAAGCAGGCGAACATCTCGACGCTCCACTGCCCGAGCCCGCGCACGGCCGTCAGGCGCGCGACGACCTCGTCGTAGGGCGCGTCGGCCAGCGCCGCCGCCGACAGCTCGCCCGACGCGAACTTGGCGGCCAGGCCCTGCACGTACTCGGCCTTGCGCTGCGAGAGGCCGGCCGTGCGCAGGCGCTCTAGCGAGGCGGCGGCGACTTGGGAGGGTTGCGGGAAGCGGCGGGGCGGCTCGGTGGTGGTGGCGGTGTCGTCGTCGTCGCCGCCGCTGTGCGGTGGTGGTGATGGCGGTGACGGCGGCGGGGAGAACAGCGCGACGAACTTGGCCTTGATGGAGCGCGCGGCGGCGCCCGACACCTGCTGGCTGATGATGCCGCTGCAAAGGCTCTCGAACGGATCGATCTCCTCCGCCAGGCCCTCGGGGCTGAAGATGTGGCAGTGGTGCGCCTCGACGAGCGACCTCATGCGCGCGTCGACCCTGACGAGGTACGCGCACGCCTCGTCGAGGATGGTGGCGGTCGTGGTTGCGGCCGGCGGCTTGTCGTTTGCTACTGCTGCCGCCGCCGCCGCTGCTGCAGGTTGCTTGACCGGGGACAGGTCCTCGATGGGCGGCTGGGCCGACACGACGACACGCGACGTCTCGGGCGACAGCAGCGCCGCGTTGGTGGCGCGCGGGTTGGCGGCGCGCACAGTCGCCGGATGCTGCTGCGACCGCCGGCCCGGCCTGCCCTGGGGCTCCGAGATCAGCCCCACGGCGCTCGGGGTGGGCGTAGCCGGCGGCTCCGCTGCGGGAGAGGCGGCCACTGTTGCGCGGCGCTTCTTCCTCGGCGGCGGAGTTGATGGCGGCGCGGGCGGAGCACTCGCTGCTGCTGTTGCGCCGTCCTCCTCGTCTTCGGTCTTGGTCACCTTTCTTTTCCTGGGCGCGCCCGTGCCGCGTCTCTGTCTAGCAGGCTTTGGGGGTGGAGGCATCGGCGCAGACGCCGACGCCTGCTCCGGAGCAGCGCTGAGCCTGGCCGACCTCCGTACAGCCACGGGCATCTCGTCAGGCGCTGTTATGGTCGAAGTAGTTCGTAAATGGATGTGGTGTCCACCAATATGGTGGCTGCTAGGTCTGCTACGACCTTGTAAATCAACGGCCAGGTAGGGCCTTTGGCTTCGATGATGTAGGGCCACCCAGAAAGTGGACACAGCCCCTCGTCGCATGGGAGCCTATAAAGTCCGTATTGGAGCTTGGGATTGGTGTATCTGGATGCAAATAGTAGTGTCTATTTTGTCTTGATGTTGTGGTGTCGGGTACTTCTGATCCCTTTCTCCTGCTGAGATGTGGTGGTTTTCTGTCCCATCGCCCCTGGCTCGGTGTTACGCTGACTGGACTCTAATCGCCGAGCATGAAACCAGCTGGGTTGATGAGCACACGCCAAACTATCTTTGCTCTGGTGCCATGCTTGCTTCCCGCGTTTCATCAGGACTTTGAAGTCACGTCGCTGTCGCCGACTCACGTGGCAAGTAATTCCATGTGGTCACTGGCACCTCAGCCCTGAAAGTTCCCGATTAAAAACGCACCTAGTCGGATTGCAATGATCAACCCCATTTTTGATATTTCCAATATGGGATTTGCTGAGGATATAGTAAGCGGGCTGCGAGTGTTGATCGAGGTGTGCCTATTTTTGTGTGATATTGGGGACGAAACCCCCATCTCTCCCATTTCGCAACAAGATTGACCCCGATATTGGGCCTTCAATATCTAGATCGACGCCCCGCCACAGCACCCCATGCCGGCTGGCTCGGTGGTAGCGTACGACGGCCCGCGCGATCCAGCCAGAGGTTGACACCGACGGTGCCATGGATTGTCGTTCGAATACGGGCGCTCACTGGGTTCCCCTTGCCTTTCCTTATCTGCTGTTCCAAGCGGCGATGTTGGCCACTGTTTGGCTTGCAATCGATGTTATTTGATTCCTGCTTCTTTAGCGACCTGGCCAAGTTGGCGTGCCCCCCTTGGGGTAGAGCGGGGACACCTGGTGGACCCTCCAGGTTTTCTGGATCGGATGGTTTGGGGAATCAAGCCGAACCTTGCGCATCGCGTCAACACGAGCCCATCCTCCTTTCCTTCCCAGTCTCAGCACATGGGATGACAGCCCAAGCAGGCCCAAGACGCAAACCACTGGCATGGGACGCGCTGGCCTTGATTGCTTGACATGGCGAACGGCAATGCAGCAGCACAGCATCTGCGCTTGCACTGCCACTGCCACCTCGTTTTACTGCTGTTGATCGCGCAGAACACTGAACACTGGGCACTGTACGGTGTAGGGGCCGACATTAACCCACCGATGCACGTCAATGCGTGCCCGTGGCTCCGCCCTCGCATCTTCCTCCTTTCAGTCACATCGCGATTCGCAATAATCTGCGGGAATGGTCAACGAGCACTGGGCATTTTGGCTGGAGCCTGGCGGGATGGGGACCCACACGATACTTCGGGGGCGTTCTCGAACCCCAAACAGCCCAGCCAGCGAGAACACACGCACTTTCACAATATATAGTGTACACTCAGCATGCCTCAGTAGCTGGCTCCCTTGGGCACTTGGCCCATCTCTAAATCTAAAGAAAGCGAGATGTCCGTTGACATGCAGGATTACAGACATCCTGGGCGTTGTTTAGCTTCGCTCAACTGCCTGCCACTTACTGTACAGGCGCAGATAACAGAATGGATCCCTCCAGTCCGACTTGCATCTCGATTCTCCAATCAGCCCCCTCTGCTTCTCCTCCCCTCATCTCGTGCGCCAAGTGCACACAGTACACGAGGGACCTGTCACGGTCCTCTTCCGCTGTGAGCCCCTGAACTGCGGGTGCCAGCTCGCCGGCCGCTGGGGCTGGACTGGTCGCTCGGCTGTGTACCCAGGTACCTCTGTGCTTATTCATTCAGTCAAACATTCAGTCCCGTCCCTGCCCTTGCCAGGCTCTGGGTTGGCAGTGGGAGCCCCAAATTGCCCTCGATCTTTTCCCGCCTCCAGACCCACGCGCCAACACAGGCGGCCAAGCCCACTCAAGGGGCAGGTACCAGGTACCTCCAAAAAGCCAAATCCCACCGTCCAAACCCCTGCGCTCACCCATCTTTTTTTTTCTCTCTACCAAATTTGACAGGCTAGGCCGCTCTTGGCTCCTGTCCGGCCTCCTTCGCTCGACACTGCTCACCAACTTGGCTTTGCCCCTAAACCCGTAATCCAGAGGACACGACCCTCCTGCAGAACCTCCCGAGTCCCTTCATCGACAATCCTGCCGCCGTCAACTGTTGGCGACGACTCGGCGACCCGCGACTGTCCCCGTCCCGGTGCATCGGTCGCGACAATCCCACTCGAGCAACACGTCGGCGAAACGTGCCTTGCAACCCCCCCAATTAAGCGTGGCATCAAATCGCCCTCGACCAACCCAAGCACACCACACCACCACACACGCTCGACCCGAGCTGACCGCGAGTGGCACACGCCGATTTTTCTTCCTTTTTTTCTTCTTCATCCTTGGCCGCTTTCTTGCTCCCGCTTCGGCAGCACCCCGTCGCGCAACCTGACCCCTCCGTCGCTCCCGGTTTATCGGTCGTCCTGAAAAGGCTCGCTAGCGATAACGAAGGACAAGGCCCGGCCGGTGCTTCGCTCGCGACCATCCGCTCGTTTTTTTTCTTTTGAATTTTCTCCCCTCCTGGTGGCACCATAGGGCTACCCCAACATATTGTCGCCATGCTTCTTCCCAAGGGAGGCATCAACTGGAAGGCGGCCAGAGGCTCATTGCCGCCGTCAAGAGCATTGTTCGCATTTGTGACAAGAACGAGGTTCCTGCTCTTGGTCGCCATCTCGGGCCTCATGCTATTGCTATGGCGTGGAATCAGCACGTCTGCGTCGGAAGTCAAGAGGTTAGACAGAGACACCCGTACACATGCACACGTACCCGTACAACACGATGGACATTGGCGGGCAGCTCCTCGCTCCATGATGGCTCAGCGACACTAACTCAGGACTGCGCTGCGTATAGTTTCTACTGCTGGGGCCCCTCTAAGCCGCCAATGGACATGTCCATCAACGAACAGGCTGCGTGGAGCGCTCACCTCCAAACTCCCGTTATCTTTAACCGCCACAAGCCCATCGTGGTCAACGCGTCCACCATTGTCCACCACAACCTAAACCCTGTCAAATCGACCCCCAAGGCCGCCTCTAACGAGGAGCGCGTTCTGATTGTGACGCCCCTGAAGCAGGCTGCTCCCTACCTGTCCAAGTACTTTGAGCTGATCGCCGAGCTTACCTACCCCCACCACCTAATCGACCTTGCCTTCCTCGTTGGCGACTCGGAGGATGATACGCTTGCCGTCCTCTCGGCTGAGCTGGAGAGAATCCAGAAGCGCACGGATAAGACGGCCTTCCACAGTGCTATGATTGTCGAGAAGGACTTCAACTTCAAGCTGAGCCAAGACGTCAAGGATCGTCATGGTTTCGAGGCTCAGGGCCCGCGCCGCAAGAACATGGGTCGCGCCCGCAACTATCTCCTTGCCACCGCCCTGAAGCCTGAACACTCGTGGGTCTACTGGCGCGATGTCGATATTGTTGAGAGCAAGAGCTCCATCATTGAGGACTTTGTCGCTCACGACAAGGACATCCTCGTCCCGAGTACGAACTTCCATATGCGCCGATTTCTCTTCCTAAGAGCAACTAGCTGACAATGTATGGCACAGACATCTGGTTCCATCGCTACAGGGATGGCCGTGATATCGAAGGGCGATGTAAGTTTTGCTCGGAGATTTAAACCTTTGTGAGGTGTTGCTGTTATAGCGTTGTGCTAATGTTGATGCACTGCAGTCGACTACAACTCTTGGGTCGAGTCGGACAAGGGACGGAGGCTTGCGGCTAGCTTGGATAAGGATGTTGTTCTCGCGGAAGGTAAGTCTTCTCTGCCCTTGAGGTCACGATGGAGCGGTCGAGGCTAACCGTCCCCTAGGCTACAAGCAATTCGATACTGGCCGAACATACATGGCCAAGATGGGTGACTGGCGTAACAACCAGGACGAGGAGATGGAGCTTGACGGTATTGGTGGCGTGAACATCATCGTCAAGGCTGATGTTCACAGGTCAGGTCAGTGATGCTGCTGTTTTGATTACGCAATTCCATGAGATCCAGGCTAACGGTCGATGTCGGATTCATCAGGCATCAACTTCCCTTGCTACGCTTTCGAGAACCAGGCGGAGACGGAGGGCTTCGCTAAAATGGCCAAGAGGGCAGGCTTCCAAGTCATCGGCCTCCCCAACTACGTCGTGTGGCACATCGACACGGATGAGAAGGGCGGAAACGCATAAGCTCGGGACCTTCGAGTTTTTTCCCCCCCTGACGCCAGTTCATCGCTGCCAAGGCCACTAGAAGGCCTTGCGCGACCTGTTGTCTTTTCTTAGTCATGTTTCGGGCCCATGAGAGCATCTTGATTTTGTCTTCTTGGGCGCTCACCGCCCCTCCCTGCGGTCCTATTTATGCCTGCGGAAATACCCACCCCCAGCGGAGGCTGGAGGCTCTGCGGACCTGGTGGTGGAAGATGATTGTTGTACGACTTGGGGCTCACGACACAGACATATCGCATTTACATGTTCGAAAGCTTGTTCAGAAGGAGTTCTGCGGATTGGGTTGGGACGCTTCTTGACTAACTTCTTACTCATTGTTTACTGACTACCTGCCTATTTTTTACTTGCTACCTCTGCTTCATCGCACGCAAATATCTTTTTTTTCTTGCCGGGTGGGGTGGGTTTGGGCGCAGGCAAGCCGAGAGCGTCGCGGACAGCATGTGGAAAGTACCAATCGTTGTCGTCGACGGGACGAGGGTTGGTGGGAGAGAAGTTGTGGCATCTCCCCTCTCCCTGCTTGTTTATTTCTTTTATGCGGAAGCACGACTGAATCATTTCTTGTTTCCCTTCTGGTCGATATATGCTCGGTTGGGCTACTCGGGAGGACTGGGGTGGGGGAAGTTGCGCCCTTTTTTTTTCTATCCTCTTGGCTCGGCGTGTTGCCGGTACTTGTTCTCACCTACGAGAGGCCTTGTATGGACGGGGTGGCGAGGTGGCCGTTTCTCCGTATCCCGCTACTTAATAGACTCTGGTTGTAAGTTCGGGGCTGTCTCGGGTCTGTTGCCGTTGTATACAGTAGGTAGAGTGTTTAAGTTTTCACTCCTCATCTTTTGGCGTTTTCTGTGTTTCCACTAGGACGTGGTGAGAGCGTGATCAATGTAGACCGCACATGATGTGCTTCAAGCGCCGAATCTAGACGTACAATACACAGCTCGAGACGTTGGTGTATTGCCATTACGGAGAGGTTCGTGAAAAGAAGTCTATTGTATAGATGCATATTCATCCACCAGAGAATCTGATTTGACGAGGGCTTATTTTATGCAGCACTCCCTTCTTTACATGGCCGTTTCCGTTTCCTCTAGCCCGTCACGTGACGGCAATATCTATACAATCGGAGCAGGGATGCGCCGCGAGAGCGTAATAAAAAAAACACTGGCCTCCTGTTTTGTCCTTTCTAAGGCGTCTGTCCACTACTACCCCTTCCAGATACCAAGATGGTGATTCAAAAACGCGGCCGTCCTCATATTCTGAAGCCCGACAGGTTTCTTTTTGTATTCTTTTTTTAAACTTTATTTTAGACCCCTTTCCTGCCGTATTTTTTCTCTCTCTCTAGTGGCTCTTGATGACAGTGATGCCGTCGAGAGCGGCCTTCTCCTTGGCCTCGGCCTCGATGGCCTTGATCAGGGGCAGGATGTAGGGCACGTCCTCGTCGGCCTTGGTCCACTGGCCCTTGGGCAGCAGGGTGTGTGACAGGCTGAGCTGGGCGGCGCGGCGGAGCCTGTAGACGCGATCGTACTGCTCCTTGGGCGACAGGCGCTTGAGCGCCAGCTGCACCGTCTCGTTTTCCTCCGAGATCAGGTCATCGGCCCTGGGGATTTTCGGATCGGTTAGTTTTTGCGGGTTCCTTGCGCCAGCCTGCGCCTTTTCATTTTTCCTTGTTTCTTTTTTGTTCCCGACTCCGTCTCCGCCGTTCTTGTTTTATCGGGCCGCATCGGTGGTGATTGGGAATCCGGCCGAGGAAGAAAGAAGGAAAAAAGACCTACCTCAGACCCATCTGGCGGTAGCCGGCGGCGTTGGCGTACCAATTGGCCACGGGCGTCAGCATCTTGGTGAGCCATGGGCGCTTGAGCACGAAAGGAGCGAGGCTAGGAGCCGACATTGTGGGCGGTTGGTGTTTGCGGGTGCGTGTGCGCGGAGAGGGGGGAGTCTGGCGTCGGAGGGGGGTTTGCGTGGTCTGGGTCGGGTGTGGTGACGGCTTCGTCGTCGGCGAGGTGGCGTGCAAAAGGTCTGGATGGAGCTTCCCGGTGGCTCAGACAGGTTTGGGTGGCAGCCTCTCGGGCGGGTGGGTTGGCTGATAGCGGCCGGGATCCCTCAAATTCCTGCGGCCAATTTGGTCGAATCAGCTCAGTGCAGTTTCGAAGCTTCCCTTGCTGTGGCGGGCTGTCTGGGCCACTCTGGTCACGTGAGCTTCTAGATGGGATTGTGTTCCGATTCTGGCGCCTGAGGCAGCAAGGAGACCCAGCCGCCGAACCGAGCACATGGCAAGTGACGCTTCGATGCCGACACCGGATCAATTCAGAACATGAAATTTTGACAATGCGCCGATATGGTTTGCTGTATTACATCGTGTACACATAATCAGAGTCGATAGGGATGCATATCCGTTCGGTGATCACCGCTTGACGGCTGCGAGGAGCAACCCAGGGCAGTCACTTTCAAAACGCCATCTACAGTGGAAGGCGGAGGGGTGCATTCATGTTTTTCCCTGTGTGGTGTCCCTGTGTGGTGCGTCATACTGGCAAATCCAGGTATTGGGGGGCGCATGATTGCTAAATTGGGCAAGTGATCCTTCGAGGTCAGGACGGGAATTCAGACAGACACGGGGAAAAAAAAGGGACTTTGACGGCGACCCAAAAAAAAAAAGATCAATGTCGCATTTTGGGCTTGTCGCTGAATCAAAAGGGACGGCAGTCGGACGAGCTGCGAAACAAGACATCGAACGGTTTTCCGGATTCTTGGTCTGTTGTCCCGCGAAGTCAATGGCCAGCCCGTGATCCAAGAGCCAGAGCCAGAGCCAGAGCCAGCGACTTGGTCGCGTGGGATTGAGCTTTCCCCGCACACCAGACCTCCATGACCCGAGCGGGAAGGCACGACAACGTACAGCCAGCCTAATCATTGAGCCATCTCGTCATTACTCGCAGGCCTGTCCTCCTCTGCCGTCATTTTATCCCTAGCCGCTGCCGTCTCTGTCGGCCCTCTTTCGTCACAGTTTTCGACCCCCCACAAGCACCAGCCATTGCGTCAGCAGCCCGGATACGCCGGCCCTTTTCTACCCTCTCCTGGTCGGAGTCCTTCTTCCTCGCCCCGTCGATAGAGCGACAGCCGCAAACTAGCTTCGTCCGGCGGGCAGCCAAGAGGAGGAGGTGGCATGTCGCATAACCAACCCCGGCTTCCTCCCCGAGGAAGCCCCGACGCGGCCGCCGTTGCCCAAGACTATGAGCCGTCGCGACCGTCATCCTCCTCCCCCGACTACGAGCCACCAATCCCCGTCCCCTCATCATCCGCCCCGCTGTCGCTGGAGTACGTGCGCACCGAGCCCGACGCCCTCGCCGCCGCAGCAGCAGCATCCTCGGCCGCACCCCGCGGCGACGCCATGACGGGCCCCCGCCCCCGCCCCGGCCCCGTCGCCGGCGCCGACGCCACCCCGATCACGGCGCTCGAGAGGTGGGCGGCGCATGCGACGTCGTCGCAGTTCAACGCCTTCGCCGGCGCCGTCGGCGGCCTCACCTCGGGTGTCGTCGTCTGCCCCCTCGACGTCATCAAGACCAAGCTGCAGGCCCAGGGTGGCTTCGCGGCCGTGCAGAAGGGCCGCCACGTCGGCCACCACCGCGTCTACCGCGGCCTCGTCGGCACCGGCAGGACCATATGGCGCGAGGAGGGCATCCGCGGCATGTACAGGGGCCTCGGCCCTATAATACTAGGCTACCTACCCACCTGGGCCGTCTGGTTCACCGTTTATAACAAAAGCAAGGAGCACATATCGCAGCACACTAGTAAGTTTCTGCCGTCCCCTTTTCTCCCTTGGAGCGTTTGCTTTCACCCAAGGATATGTCGGCTAACGAGAGCGCCCGCTGCAGAAAACACATTCCTCGTCAACTTCTGGTCCTCAATCGTGGCCGGGGCCAGCAGCACAATCGTGACGAACCCGATATGGGTCATCAAGACTCGGCTCATGTCTCAGACGGCGCACCACATCCGGACCAGCTATTCACAGTTCCCAAAGGGCGCAAACACGCCGACGTCGCGACCGACATTGCACTCGCCGTGGCACTACAAGTCGACGCTGGACGCCGCCCGCAAGATGTACACGACCGAGGGCATCGCTTCTTTCTATTCGGGCCTGACCCCGGCCCTGCTGGGACTCACGCACGTGGCCGTGCAGTTCCCGGCCTATGAGTACTTCAAGACCCAATTCACAGGCCGTGGCATGGGCGACGGCGGCGGCCACGGCGCGACCCCCGAGTGGCTCGGTGTGTTGTCGGCCACCATATTGTCAAAGGTGATGGCGAGCAGCGCCACGTACCCGCACGAGGTCATCAGGACGCGGCTGCAGACGCAGCAGCGGCCCGTCGTGGGCATGGGACGCAACGGCTCGTCGGCGGAGCAGGAGCAGATGCTGCCCAGGTACAGGGGCATCGCCAGGACATTCCGCACCATCCTGGTCGAGGAGGGCTGGAGAGCCTTCTACGCCGGAATGGGCACCAACCTGATGCGGGCCGTGCCCGCGGCGGCGGTGACGATGCTCACATACGAGACGGTCATGCGCAGGCTAAACGAGGCCAAGCACGATGGCGAGAGGAAGCTCTCGGCCGCTGACGATGCCGAGGGCCTCTCGCTGTGATTGCAAAGAAATAAACCCGATCGCTGGCCGATGTCTTCCTCAGGGATATACGCGCCGCTTTCTTTTCATCATGTTGCTCTTTAGTCTTGGAGACAGAACCGGTTTTATTTTTCTCGGCAAGGGGGTTTTACGCGGAAACATGCGTGCGATGACGGACAGAGCAAGCAGACGATACCCCGACAACTCTTAAAACATTACTTTACTTGGTTTTAGTGTAGGTATAGATATGTGACGTTTTTTTCTTACTCTCTTTTCATTAGCAGGGCTCGAAGGGACCAGGGCGGATGGCTGGAAGAAGTCCGAGGCTCGGTTTTTGCTTGTTTTATCATGCCCCACCGCGCCCTGAAGCATCATTTCAGAGATACAAGTTGTTATTTGTCACACCCTTTTGTTGAGAAATAAAGCCCATTGAATGATGATTTAAACCGCTTTGCAGTAGCCTCTTGTTTGCCGAATGGGTCGCATCTTGACTTTTATGGACCTCCCTTGGAAAAGCAACAGAAATACTGGAACCGCACATGGAGCAGGATAGGAGGTTATAGTATGGCCCGAGTCAGCAAGATCTTCAGGAACATCAAAGGCCTTTGGCGCAAAGGTAGCGCGTCCGCCTCCTATTCTGTAGCGAGCGGAAGGCTGTGGGTTCGAGTCCCATGAGGCCTGTTTCTTTTGCATTTTTGTACTTTTTATTACTTTCGTACTGTTTTTTTTATTCTCCTCACTGCTTCCAACTTGCTTTACTCGATTGGCGTCTCTTGCTTGGGCTTGTTACCGTTGAGCACTTTTTGCGATTGAAATGAATGCAGACCACGCATTACAGTAAAAAATAACCTGTAATTCAACCTCGTTGGTCCTCCCGAAGCCCGGTCTCTCCCATCTTGCCATTCGTCGTCCAACCCCCTGCCTCGCCTTCACCTGGGAGGCTCCTCGGGAGGGTTCTGCAGCTGTTTCCTGCGATACGCGTCGCGTTCCATTTGCTATGGAAGGGCGGGGAAAAAAGAGGTGTTAAGATGGCGCTTGTTCAATACCTTCTGGTCCCCCCCACGCAGCGCAGCGCGCATGAAAGAAAAGAACAACTTACAGCGTTCAGCCTGGCCTCGCGGATGGACGAGCGTGTATATCTAGATAGGTAGGGAGGGAGTGGGGGTATGCACATGACAAGAGTGAGCTATCTAGTCTTCATCATCGACGGCCGTGGTTGACTGTTCGTTCGCCTTGTGCTTCGCCAACGTACGTGAACAGGATGCAGGCCATGGTGAAGGCCGCCATCGGGGCCATGACCGTCTATGGCTCTCGCAGCCCGTCAACCGGCCACCCGGCACACAGGTGAAGTTGGTCACGCAGGCTGTCTTTTTTTTTTTTTTTTTTTTTTGCGGAACCGGGCTCCTTGGTCGCCCTCTCTCCCTTACTTACCCTTGGGTTGATGTTTGCCATGGCTTTCCGGTCCCCACCCGCCTTGGGGGAGGGGGCGGCGCTCGTGGGATGTGGATGATGGGTGGGTGGTGTGTTTTTGTCGTGTTTTTTTTCCGCTGCGCTTGCTATTCTGCAACGGCAGTGGAAGCTTCTTGGGACGACGGCCACGGCAAGTTTCAGCTTGGTGGCTGGCCTTTTCGGTTTATCTTTGAATGTTGACGGGGCAATCAAAAGCAAGAAAGAGGTGGGTGGGTGTTCGGTCAAGAAAAGGATTCGTCGATAGATTCCATCGTACGATGGACATCGGGGTGCAAAGTACCGAGCGCCAAGGGCCCTGTAAAACCCGGGCGCCCACTGCCCGGGCCGATTCCAACGCATTGAGCACGCCCCCCTCAACTGCCGCCCCGGCAATCGATTAGGCGTTGAGGCCCCTGAAGCCTGGCTTGCGTCGAGTTTGGGAATTCATGTCACAACCGACGCATGATCAATATGGCTGAGATGGGAAGACGAGAGTTCCAGTGCCAGTTTTATTTTCCTTATGATTATCATCGCATCGTAGTGTAATATCATGGCGGCGTTGTAGGCTCATAAAAGTGATAAAAAAAGAAAATGTCCAAGTGTCGAGACACAACGTCTTGTCTGGCAGGAAAGCAGGAAACAGAAAATCTCGCAATATCCATGCCCCATCTCAAGTCTGATAACGCAACGGAAATAGCTCTTCAGTCTGGATATAAGCCAATGCGCGATAAACAAAACCAAACAACAAAACGTTTAACCAAAGATAACAAAAAGCAGATCGTGGTCGTCAAGTCGTCAGATGATCCGAGTTTCGTCGTCAGTCCCGTTCCCTCTCTCGCTCCCGATCCCTCCTTCGCTTCTCGCGCCTGTGCCTGCCGTGATCGTGATCGTGTCCATGTCCATGCCCGTGCCCCACCTCGTCGTCAGCCTCTCTGTAATCGCCGCCGCCGTATAGGATCTCCTCCTCCTCCTCGTCGCCTACCGGTTGAGTCCACGCCTTGTCCCTGCGCCTCTCCTCGCGTTTGTCCTTGTCGCTGTGTCGGTCCCTGCCGCGATCGCGGTCGCGGTCCCGCCTCCTCTCCCTCCCGCCGTCCGACGGCCCCGCATCATCCCGGCCGTCATCGTCGATTCTCTTATCCGCGCTGCCTAGCGTAGCGCCAAGCAGGCCGCCCAGCATGCCGAGCCAGCCGCTTTTCCCCTCAAGCAGGCCCTGTATCTGGCGCGCTGTCCTCTCGACAGCCTCACCATCGGAACCCGCCACGCCCCACTGGCCGTGCGCCTGGAAGCCGTCGGGCCGCTGGCTTCTGTACTCAAAGTCTCCTCGCCTCGATGCCGGGCGTGACGGCTGGTCAAGCGGACGTCCGTGCGAGTCGAACCGGTCCGGGAGCGACTCGATTACCACCTCGTCATCATCCTTGGCAGACGAGCTGGGCCCGTGTCGGCGCCGTGAGCTGAGCGCGCGATCGGACGCGTCCGACCCGGACCGCCGCCGGTGATGTGGGGGCTCTGGTGGAGCGCTTGAGGATGCGGAGGCCTTGTCTTCAGAGTAGTGCGGGAAGGCAGAGTGTGGTACGAGCTGCTGGCTGTCGGCTGGATCGCGCGCAGGGCCTATAGGGTCTATCTTTTGGTCGTCTGGTTTGGCTCCCGACTCCTTGTGGTGTCGCTTCAGCGTCTGCGAAGACTTGGGACTGAGTGGGATGAATATGACGGATTTTGCAGCCTCGGCCTGCGGCTGAGGAGAATCCATGTCCGTCGGACTGTGGGCATCAGAGACAAAGGACGCTTTGGATGATGCGCGGGATTTGGGCCGCGAAGACGAGCGGTGGCGGCGGCCTCGTGGATTTACACCATCTAACCGGTCACCCAGTTTTGTCAGTTAAAACACAGTCACTCGAATGGGGTTCCCAAAAGGCGATGCGCCACTATGACATGGACGGGATATAGCATTCGCTGGAGGCGAGCTTATGGTTGTGGACAGGACGCACCCGGACCTGGCTGGCCGGACGAGCGGGCCGCTGAACTGGCGCCCGCGTGAAGAGGAGCTTGACTCACTTGGTCGCCGTGGGGATTCATCCCGGGGTGAGTAGGCGGGTAACCCGCTGGGGGCGGCGGCATCGGTTGTCCCTGCGGCGGGCCCGTGGGGTACGGCGGCATCGGTACTGTGGGGGGTGGTCCCATGTTTGTCGGGGGAGGCATTCCCATGCCCATCTGGTGAGGGGGCCCTGGGGGCGGAGGGGGCCCTGCTGGCGGGTATGGGATGCCCGTGGGCGTCGCTGCCCCGTTTGGGCGTTGCGGAAACTCGAAATCCGACAGGTTTGTTGATACCACGTTTGGGTGCTGGGTAAAGGCGCCGGGACCGGCTGCTGCGACCCCTCCGGCGGTTCCCGACATTGCAGGCCCTGGCCGGAAGCCACCAGAGGCGTGTGGTGGAGAGTGTTGCTGGTGACGATGGCCGTGGTAGTAGTCGTCGTGGCTGTCGTAGCCGTCATCTGTCGCCTCATCCGCGAACCCTGTTAAAGGATGGCCCAGTGTGTCAGTCATCAGCCCGCGGTCTCTCGTACACTGCCTTTTCGAGGCTGGCTCCGTTTCCAACGCGGCGCGGGAAAGTCACGGTCAGTGGTGAGAGGATGGAGGTGTCGGGATACTCACTTCTTCGCTCCCTGTCTTTCGCCCTCTGCTCCCTGATGCTATCTCTATCTCTATCTCTCCGGTCGTCATGTCCGCGGTCGTCACGATCCCTGACATGGTCTCGATCAAGGTCTCTGTCCCGTTCACGGTCCCGTTCACGGTCCCGTTCACGGTCTCGTTCACGAGCATCCCTCTTGTCACGATCACGCTCACGCTCGCGCTCACGCTCGCGCTTATCCGCATCCTCTTCCTCCTTCTCCCTCTCCTTGGACTTTTCTCGATGCTTCTGAATTGTCTTGAGCCCGATGGCCGCCGCCGCGACGCCCGCGCCCGCGGCTGCCATCTCCCTGATCCGACTCCTGCTCCGCTTCTTCTCCACTTCCTTGGGCTCCCTGTCGGACGAACTCGCAGAGCTCGACGCGCGCCGGCCGCCGCGGCGGTGGCGGAGCCTGGATCGGTCGCTTTCCTCGGCCGCCGAATCGTAGTCGCTGGCGACGCCGCGGGTGCCGGCGCGGGCCACGACCGGAACTGCCCCTCCTCCCCCGCGGCGGTCGTTCCGGCCGAGGGGATCGTTCCCGTACTCAACCATACCTAGTTCGGGGTCAGCTCTTCCGGAGTCGGCATAGGGGAGGGGTTTCGGTCTGTGGTGGGCGTTCGACCTGCTGTGGGACCGGGACCGGCGGCGGCGGTCGCGGTCTGAAAACTCTGAGCTGCTTCGGCTGCGGCTGCGGCTGCGGTTCTTGCTGTACCGCTTGCTCTCGCCCGAACGCGGGGCCGCCGACTGCGACCGCTCGCGCTCCTTCTTATCTTGGTGGCGGTCGTATAGGTTTTTTGCGCCAGCGCCGGCCAAGCCCGCGGCCACGATCTGGGCGCCGGTTCGCAGCCGCGACCGCGACCGGGATCGCGACCCGCTGCCGTCCCTGGCCTTGGACTTGTCGCGGAAGTGCTTCACGATGCCGGCAACGGCAGCGGTGCCCGCGGCGGCCTTGGCCATGCTTGCGGCACGGCTGCGACTGCGCTTGCGCGACGTCGAGCGCGAGTAGCCATCCGAGGAGTAGCGGCGGCGGCTACGGCCCCTCGCCCCTTCTTCCTTCTCGATCTTGGAGGCTTGGTAATACTTGGTGGCTCCCGCGATAGCCAGGGCGGCGGCAGCAATGCCCAGGCCCGTCTTGAGCTTGGAGTGCCTGTCGTCCTTGTCGGCACTGCTGCTGGTGATGTACCGCGTGCGCGACATGGACCGGTCGCGGCCATGGGACCTCGACCGGGTCCGCGACCGGCCGCGCACGCGCTCCTCCTCGACGTAGCGCTCATTGTATGCGCTGCGGGCACGCTTGAAGACCTCTGTCCCCAGGGCGCCGAGGGCAGCACCGGCGATCACCTTGCGGCCGCGGTTCTCCTGTATACCACCGTTATCGCCGCGGCGGGTAGCGAGGAGGGCGGCAGCACCGGCTCCTGCTATGGCGCCCTCGGCCAAGTGGCGCTTGCGGTGATGGTCGGCGCTGGAGCTACGCTCGCGCACAACCGTGGTCTTCTTCTTGACGTAGTAGTCCTCGTCGTCATTGTACTCACGACGGGCAGGACGGCGCTCGTCCCTGTGGCGCTCAACGGAATACTCTTCCTCACGGACGTCGCGGCCGCGATAGGGGCCAACCTCACGGGCCTCGGAGCGGCGGTAGTAGTACTCGTCGTCTCCATAGGTGCGCTGCTCCCGCTGCTCGCGTACGACCAGCGGGGCCGGGGGCGGGGCCTCCTGGAAGATGATCTTTTGCTCTATAGGACGCGAGCGGATGACCACAGGGGTGACTTGGATGGGGGAGGTGGGCCCAGCGGGCTCGTAGATTTCCGTCTCCTTGCGGTAGCCCACAACCTCGCCGCCGTAAGCGTCCTCACGGCGCTCCTCGACGCGGCGCTCAACCTTGACATCGCCGTCCTCGCGGCGCTCGACACGCTTCTCCACGCGGACGTCGGTGTCGCGGTCGTAATCGCGTTCCCAGCCGGTGCGCGAGTGGCGGTCCCAGTCGCGATCGCGATCGTGGGGGGACAGCGGACCACGGTCGTAACGGTCACCCGTGTGCTCGACCACCTTTCGCTCGACCCGGGACCTGACCTCGGGCCCGTAGGGGTCGCCGGGCTCGCGCTCGATGCGCTCGACGACCTGGCGGCTGGTCTCGGCGCCGCGGTCGTGGTCATACTTACGGGATTCGCGAACGATCTCGACGTCGTCGGCGACGCCGTCGCCGTCGTAGTCGCGCTTGGTTACGTGCTTGTGCTCGACGGTGCTGGTGTTGCGGGGCTCGTAGGCGGAGCGCGGGCGCTCGGGTATGTAGCGATCCCGGCGATCCACGTCAAGGGCGTCGGAGCGACCTGGGTAGTCGCCGGAGCGGAAGCGACGGTCATAGTCGTCGTCATACTCCTCCACCCGCTCGACGACACGCTCGGTGCGGTTGGGGGTCACCTTGTACCGGTGCACTGTCCTGTCGTACCTGGACTCGTCGAGCGGCGAGGGCGAGCGCTCCGACCGGTACTGGTACACCCGCGACTCCTTGTACACCCCCTCGGGAGGAGGCATTGTGGGCGATGTGTCTGTCACGCTCACAGGCGCGGGGTTCCTTGGCGGGCTTTCCGATGGCTAAACAGACGGAAAGGCTATTTGGTTTTGTTCTCTGCTGGGAAGTCAAGCAACTCCCTGCGTGCGCTGCTTGGCTTGACTTGGGCTTTGCCGATCGTGCAGCGGGATCACAAACAAACAATATGGGTGGTGAAGGAAGAAAAGAAAATAATAATAAACGATTTCCAGAGCGGGCGGGCCGGAGAACCAAAGAGGCCAGGTTTGCTCGGCAGTGACGTGATGGAGGGGGAATGGGAAATGTCGGGGGAGAAGACCAGGGAAAAGAAGGGGGGGAAAGGGCTGAACAGGCGGGTCTTGCTGGCTGACAGCAGGCCAACAGAGATTTATGGAGACGGAGACGAAGGAAGTCAGGACTGCTGCGACAGGTTTTGATCCCCGGAAGCAAGGCGACGAAATTAGAATGGCTGGCTGGCTGTCAGCAGGGGCAGGGAGACGTGCTAGCACATAGGTCGTTCATTTGACGTGCTGCAGCGCGTGGGTGGTGGTGGTACTACCCGCTACAACCAAACCTCAACCTAACCCTCCCACCTTGCTGCAGCAGCAGAAGCAGCAGGGCCGCACAGAAGATGCGGCAGGGGCCTGGGGCTGGCAGTGAGGGGTCTGGCTGTGTGGCCGAGAGGATGAACCAAGAGAATGAATCTCAACTGCCTGTCCGGGACTTTGATGATGTGATTTCTGCCATTTCTATAATTTTCTATACTTCTATCTATTGTTTTTTTTTTCAGAGTCTTCTTTGCCTCCAACATCTCCTGCTCTCATCCATCTTTCTTTCCCCCACCCCTCAGCGGCTGCTGCCCCTTTGTGTGATTGACGAGGGGCTCTGCTGACCCAGCCTCGCACCTGGAATCCCATGGAACACCCCACCGTCCAAACGCACGCCGTTTTGGCTTCTGGGCTACCTTGGCCATCCCCGCACGCAACGCCCGGCAGCAGTGGGCGCGCTTCCTTTCTGCCCAACTGGGTTTGGTTCCTCGCCAGGCCAGGGCAGGGACGCATGTTCGGATGACGACAAGGGCCCAGGTCAGGATGGGTGCAGAGAGAGGGTGAGAGGGTTCTTCCCCACGCCGGCCAGCCTAATGATAATAATAACCAGGCCAGACCAGGCCAAGCCAGGCCATTGGCGGTTGCTCTGGTCATGCCATCCCATTCGCCTCCTTGCCTCCCGTCAGGTCAGGCAGGCCCGGTGACCAGCGAATTCTGATGGAGGGTTCGCTCGTTTTTTTTTTTATACTTCTCTTCCTTCTTTTTCCCTTTTTGTCCTCAGGTCCCCCGTGACGCTTAAACTGTCGTACCCAAGACATCTCTCGAACCAGACGAGCCAGCAGCCAGTAGTTGCACATCACACTGCCCCTCGTCGCCCGCTAGCTGCGCAGCCCCCGAGACAGAAGACATGCAGCAGGCAGGCAGCCGACGTAAATATCTACCCCCCAAAGCGCCGCATGGCTGCGTGGGTGACTGGGGCGCAGCCACCCTCGTAGCCACTCTTCACAGCCCGCTCAGGCCGCAGGAGGGGGACGACCTGTCAAATCGACACATTTGGCCCCTCCCATCGTCTTGCGGGTACTGCATGGCGACGGAACCGTGCATGTCGCACTTTTGCGATCCTCTGGTTCGCTCTGGTTTTCCTTGCCATCACCCCTTGAACGGCTCTTCGCTTTCGTCCCCTTTTTTTTTCCTCGTTTCTTTCTCAAAGTTCGTGATGCAAACTTGGAATCTGGCGCTTGCTCCCTCTTAATTGACCGTATTAAGCTTGGGTGGAGCATTGCAGTCATTTGCGTTTTCGGGCGTCGGTTACGTCAGGGCTGTGTGGGGATCCATTCCCCGATCACGCCCACCCGCAGACTCCAGTGTCGAGTCTTGTGTATTCTCTACCTTGTTTCTTGGAAAGACTGATACAGCTCGGTCCAGAATCACAAGTCCCTGTTTCCAGGCACATTTCAGAAGCCATCCATCATGAAGCTACCTGACGTATTATGGCGTTGCAGACTCGGACACTGAATGCTGGGTTAGCTGCCCATTGGTGCCCGACGTAGAGCGCGGGTAGACTCGTATCCTAAGGCACTTGGGATTTTGTAGATGAGAAGGCTAAAGCACTGACACAAGGACGGCATGTAGAACAGTGGAGACTGGTCTGGGAAGAATTTGAGGAGTCCAAGGATAGAGGTTTAGGTAGGCTTGTCGTCCTGACAGACATGACTGGGTGCGACGCTCTGCCGTCCTTTGCTCCAAAGCCCAGCCAAAGCGTATATATTCTGCTCTCGCAGACCCACAGCCTTCATAGGTCTGGATTCCGTGACCAGCTGCGACCGAGGCGCGGGCCTGTCCGGGCTACAACCTGCCCGTTCCTCGTGACCCGAGCCCGCATCCTGTCCCTCTCCAGACCTCGTAACCAAGACGAAGCCAACAAGGCATGTAGCTTGGTCCACTGGAGCTGGCCAATGTCCCGAAGGCCAGCGAGCTCGTCCTAGGGGTCAAAGTGAGAGCATGCAATGGCATCCTTTCTCTTCTGCAAAGCAAGCGAGATAAACATTGTCTTGCTATAATCCATGGCGTACACGACTCCAAGGACGTGGAGAATTAAGAGTAGGACAATTATAGTGACGGAGCCATTCGTTCACTCGATTATGCGCTTTCACCCAGCAAAAAAGCGGTACCAATGAGATGGAGCGCTTGCTATATAAGCGGTGGTCTGGGGTGCACCCTATCATACTGGCGACGTAAGAGCCAAGCCATGCGGTTGTTTGTGTGTCCCCCTTGTCCGTCCTAAAAAGAAACCCCCATAGACACAAGATAACCACCTAGTAACAATAAAACCAACCCCTCATAGAAACATATCATGACAATCGTTAATCGCACAAATCAAAAGGCGCAAGAGGTCCAAACGCCACTAGGGCAGGAAGAAAACGACAACCAAGGCAGTGAAGTTACGGGCGACCGCCAACAATGGCACCGTCAGGGAACTCAAGAAAGTCAGAAAAGCACAAGACTGTCCCGATACCAAGAGAAACTTAGTCGTCGCCGTGAATGCCAGGCTTGTCAGACGCCAAGACCTTTGCGTCCTCTCTTGCTGTCACCTCGGGGGACGCGGGAGCCTTGTCGATGGGGGACTCGGCCGCGACGGACGAGTTTAAGCCGATGAGGGTGGCGTCCTCCTCTCCCTCATCGTCCACGTCTTCGACGTACGGGCGGCGGCTGTTCATGAAGTCGTTGTCGGACATGACACCCTCACCGCCACGACGGGGAAGGCTGTTGTCCTTGCCGAGAGGCGATGGGGTGCGCGACACGTTGGCGCTGCTCCTGTTCGAGTTGGACCGCGGGGGCGGCGGCGGCAGCGGGATGGGTCCGAACATGGGCAGGTGAAAGGAGCCGAGCGAGCTTGGTGTCGTCAGGGCCGAGAAGGGGTTCATGGGCGGCGGCGGCGGCGGCGGCGGCGGGCCATACAAAGACAGCGGGAGCGCGTTGCGTTGCGAGTTTGGCGACGACGGCCAGGACGTGGAGGGAGGCATGGACCCAGGGGCGAAGAAGGCGCCGGGTTGCGATGCCGGCGGGGGAGGGGGTGGTGGAGGCGTCGACAAAGAATGCATGCTCCAAGCCGGCGGTGGCGGAGCCATCGGGCCGGGCAGCAAGATGGGCGGCCTGGAGGGGAAAGCACACCGCTGGGGCATGGGCAGGCCTGGAGGAGGTGGCGGCGGCAGCAGCACCGACCGCTGTTGGAATGGCACATAAGGCGGCAGCGAGAACGGGTGTGGTGGAGGAGGAGCAAAGCCAGGCGGCGGTGGAAACCGATAAGGCCTGCGGTCGGTAGTGTAGCAATCCCTCGAGGGCGATCGCGAACGGTCACCCCAGGAGGACAAAGATGGGTCCGAGGAAGGTGACCGAGACCGCCAACGATAACGGCGGGGCGGCTCTATTGACCGCGATCGCGACCGGGAACGGTCCCTCAGTGGCGATCGCGCTCGTCTCTCGTACCTCTCGGACGGCGCACGCCTCCTAAGAGTGGGCGGGGCAAAGGGAGTGCGCCTAATCTTGACCGACGGTGGCGCAAAGAAGCCCGCCTTTTGCCTATCGGCAGCCTTCTTGGCCCGCTCCAGATGGCCCTGTTGGATATCGACCTCGCGCCACGGGTTCGTGAGCCGGGTGTAGGCCGGGAGACCCTCAGGGTCGTGCTGGGTCTGGCGTCCGATGAGGACGAGGAAGTACTGCAGCTCGCGGCCCCGCGTGTTATCCTTCCACCAGCGCAGGCGGTGGCGGCGGGCAGGGGTGGGTTCGGTGCTGGCGAAGTGGTGATGCAGCTGCTCGCGCACGATGGCGACTGTGAACTCTCGCTTGCGCGTCGCCGAGCTGGAACACCTGCCCCTGTCCTGCAGGAGGGTCGAGATCTCGTCCTGTACGGCGGCGGGGAGCTTGCGGATCCTCTCATCGACATTGTCGTCGTACGAGCTTCGCGAAGTGTGGCGGCGGAGAAGGCGGCGTACCGGGAGGCAGCCTCCGGAGCTTCGGTGAGAGCCGTGGTACTCATCCAGCGCGTCCATGTGCATTGTGGCCAGCTCCTTCTGGGTGTGCGTGGTGAAGAGGACGCTGGGCCTGCCGCCAGGGTTGCGGGTGAAGTGCTGCACCGTCTTGATGCCGAGCACACGCTTGCCGTCGGTGACGTCCTCCTCTTTCGGGGAGACGTGGATCGTCCATCCTTCATAGACGGGCTTCAGCGGATCCTCTTCCCGTGGGAGACGGCTGTTGGAAGGGAGGCAGTTGTTAGCGGTCAGGCTCATAACTCACAGCTGGGAGGTAGGATACCGAGGCCGGGCTTCTTACAAGGGCGGGCTGAGCTGGATGGGATCGGCATCACGGCCAAAGGGATAGCTCCAGAGACTGGAGGCATCATCGCTGAGGTAGCCGTCGTCGAAGTCGAAGTCGTCGTCGTCGTCGCCGGGCAGGGTGTTGTCGTCGTCAGAAGCCGACAAGACAGACACAGCATCGGCGGAGACGGCAGCAGCGCGCTCCTCGCGCTCTGTTTCCATGTATGCCTTTGCCCTACTCATCTTTGCAACCCAGGCCATCAATTGCGGGGAATTGTGCTGGCTGGGGTGATGGTATGAGTGCGTGCCAGAAGACGGGTTGATGAGGCCGGGCTAGCTGGCGGATAGGGGAACGTGGCTACCCAAGCAAGTCTGTGGGTGGGCGATGAGGGAGAAACAGTGGAAGGAGAGAAGACGGCGGAGTCTGGTGGGGGAGAGGAGAGGCCGGGAGGCCAGTTAAAAGACGCAGATACAACGCAGGCTGCACTGGGGGGAGCTCAGACGGGAGGGTGTGGGAGTGCAGCTGGACGCTGGCCAATCCGGGGGCCGAGACGGCGTCGAGGGTGAGGCTGTCCGAGCACGACAGTGGGGTAGCCAGAGAGGCCCGAAGCCAGAGAGCGGAAACCAGCGCAGCAGAGCGAGGTACTGTGGTGGATGTATCTGGACAGCGCTGCTGCTGCTCTGTGGTAAAGCCACCCGACGGCCAGCCAGTGGGAAACGGCTCTCGTGCTTTGCGATGACGGGCAGATGCCTGCTTGCTCCTTGTTCGCGCGGCCTGCTAGTTCGGGCTGCTGCCGACGTGGTATGTAAATCTGGGGTTCCTTGAGAGGCCGGCGAGCTGACGTGGCTTTGGCTTGGAGGTTTGGGCTCTTATGTGCTGGGACAGGACAGTTGTTTGCCGGCTGGTGGTGCACACCTACTGTACTCATGCACATACAAAGGCGGTTCGCAGTCGAAGCAAAAAAAATAAACGAATGGACAGGTGGACAGAGGGATGGATCATGTACCCCGATGGTGGAGGGAGCCAGTTCCGTGTAAGACGCGGGTCTGAGCCCGCTGTTCTTTCGTCTTTTGTCTTTCTAGGGCTGATTATTCGAGGGGACGGACAGGAGGGGGGTGCCATTGAGGGTGTCAATGGCAGGCCGCCAACACCTGGGGCCCCCAGAACGGCCTAGCACGGGCTCCCGTCGTGCCACCCCAGCTGTGTCCCACCATGTGTGGTGTCCACTGCGGTGTCCTACTGTCTTGTGTTCCACCTCTCCAATCCGATTGTCTTGCGCAGAGAAGGGGCAGTGGGCGGTTCCAAAGGCAGCCTTGCCTCGCACCATTGGATCCGGCCCTTGCCTGCTGCCCCCCTGCACGACACACCCAAGCAGGCAGCAGGCAGACAGATAGACAGACCATCGGGGAGCTGCATTCTTTCCAGCCTTCGTGCTCAAAAGTGTATGTCCGTGACCCCCTGTGGGTCCCCCAACAGCCGCAGCAGCAAGCAAGCCTCTTCCCGCGGTTGATCGTACCTACCTAAAGCAAATGCACGCATTGTTGCTTCCGCCCGCTGCAGATGGGCGCGCAGAAATAGCTTCCATCCTGGTGCGACCACTAGCCAAGGCCGGCCATTGGGGCAAAAGGGGGACGAACGAAACACGACACCGACATACACAGTACATACATGAACGGACTGCTTGCTTGCTTCAACGCCTTGCTTGCGTCCGCTCTACTGTGTTAGCGCCGTCCCTTTTTTTTTTTTTTTTACTTGCCCCATGCAAAAACCACCACCATGACCTCCAAAGGAGCCCGGCCCCGCCTGCGATAAACAAGCACGCCTGCCCGCGGTAATCAATCATCAAACGCATTGAGCAACCTCGGACGCTTGCAGCGCTAATGCGGGGCGCGCGGCGCGTGGGGTAGGGGTGGGACAGGCAGAGGGCATGGTAGAAGTGCGGCAGTGAGACGGACAAAAGAGACGATGGAAAGAAAGACGACGAGGGAGCCAAGGGCCGTGATTGGGTCGATGCACTGCATCACGGCAAACCCCTCCCCTCCTCCTCCTCCCTCCCTCCAGCTGTGAGGCGGAGCAGAACGAGCGAAGAGAGATTGGGGATTGCGACACCCGACGTCGCGCGCGCTAGGCCCTTCTTGGCCCTAGCCTCTCGTCTCTCCCCTCCCTTGCTCCCCCGTCGTGCCCGTCCTACAGCTTCACTCCAAAGTGTGCCTCGCCCTGGCTGCATCTGTCTTGGTGGTTGCCCGGTGTGGCGGACCAACCAGAGCTGGAGGGGTTAGGTGGTTATTTGCCGGCCCAGTCGGATGCTGGATGGGGTTCGCGCTTGCGTCGCTGCGTCGCTGCGTGCTTGCGTGCTTACGACTGACCCTGCCTGCAGTGGTGGGAAGCTGTAGGAGGATGAGGAGGTGGAGGAGGGGAGCAGCCTATACCGCGGAACAGGGGAAATAACAAAGCCCCCATCACATCAATAAGCAGGCTGCAAGTGCGAGCCTGCGGTGAAGTGTGGAGCGCGTCACCCCGACCCAACATTGCAAAGTGCATGTTTCAATACATCCCTCGTCCTTCCTTCCGGCTGGCCGTCGAGGCTGACGGACTGACGGACTGGTTGGGTTGGCTGCCTCCGAGGCCGTCCGTCAGCACAGGGCACATAGACACACACCCCTACACATAACGCCTCACCTCCCACCTGCCTGCCCATTCCCCACCTCAGCCCTCCCAGATCCATCCCGGATGGACTGTCGTCCAAGGCAAATGGCAGTTGGCTCGCCAGCCTCTCCTGATCTTGACTCACCCCATCCGCACACCCCGCCTATGCACTCTTCCGGGTGTTCGCCCCAGCGCCCGAGTTCCTAGGACTCGAGTGTTCTTGCAGAAATAACACCGGTATCGGCAAGACGGCGCGGCCCAGATGGCTAGAGGCGCCTCGGGTGGCTTAGCGCCATATCATGATGCGCTAACTGCTTGCTTATCTACCTCCTACCTACTGACACACAGTAGGTTGAGGCGAGTCTGAACACCCCAAGATACGACAAACACAATTCCCGAAATGCGAGCCGTGAGATACACTGGTGATTTCTGTATCTGTATAGTTGATTCTGTTCGGGTATTTCGCAATCTTTACAGTCTCCCTAGCCAACGTGGTTAGCCACTAGGTAGCCTGTAACGCCACAATAGCAGGTACGCATCTAGGTACTGGGTAGGCAAGAACATAAAAGAGCCAAAAGCAAAAAAAAAAAACTCCTAGCCTGGGCTTTTAACCTCGTTGTATGAGGCGCAAAAAAACTCGAGGCATAGGTAAATTACGTGCAACTCTCTGCCGTCCAGCGTGGTAGTCATAGGTACCGTGTTGCACACATCTCCCTCCACCGCCAGACCATCCATTATCCGCGCACTTAGGCATGGATCGCCTGCTGAACCTCCGGGTACACGGCAACCATCTGGTGGTAGATGTCGGGGTGGTCCCGCATCAGGACCTCGGGGTCCCAGGCCGTTGCGACAAAGATGGTATCGATACCGCTGCTGAGGGGCGTCGTGAAGACATTGCAAATCTGGAGGCCAATGAGGAAAGAAAACGCCACAATGGGCACCGTGAATGAGCCGCCCGTGTTGTACGACGGGTTCGTGAAGGTCAGGTACAGGAACGACAGCAGCGCGCAGGCAAACGCCACGAACATGGCACCCATGCTGAGAACGGGGCCGATAAGGCACTCGTTGACGAGCGCGTCGATGCCGCGATCCTTGATCATACTGCAGTGGGAAAAGTCGGTTAGCCCAGTCAGATAATGCACCGCGACACAAAGAGATCTCGACTTGGAGGTAAAAGGGGCAACACATACGTCCACGTGTCCTTGGCCGCAGCAAAGTACGCCTTGCCGTACAACGCAATGTGCGAGAAGGCATAGCGGTTGACAAACTCGACAGCCCACTGCAGAAGAGAAATGATGCAGCCGAGGCAGCCGAACAGGATGCACGAGAGGATGTCGCCGTCGGCCGCCGCCTGTTGACGAGCAATGGAACAGAGCATGCGGAGGAAGTTAATGATGGCCACAATCAAGCTACCAAGGCTGATACTGCCAAAGCTGTACGTCAGGGATCGCTTGAGGGCTCCGCGCGTGACACGCTGCGGGTAGTTGCGCGAGCAGAAGTACCTGGACGCCTTGGTTAGTGTTTTTGTACATCTATTAACAAGGCAAGCGAAGAATGCTACTCACCAGCTGCCATAGACACCGCTGATTGTGGTATGAATCGTGTTCTTGAGCCACTCGGAGATCCAGAAGGCCGTGAAGGTTAGGAACACAACCAGGCCGATGACCTTGCCCTGGCTGCAGCCACCACTACGGCAGTTCGGGTTCCGACTATCGGGTGTGTAGCTGGCATATACCGCCACCAGCGTGACCGCGTACCAGGCGCCAAAGGCGGCGCCGATTAACCCGCCCAGGGCGCTGACCATCCAGACGTGACCGTGCTTCTTGGCGACGTCGACAGACGTCCGCAGCATCAGGGCGCTGAACGGAATACGCGGAATCCACGAGATGAAGGCGATGACCAGGAACACGCAGAAGATCAGGAAGATGATCCCCCCGACATACTGCTTGCGGTACAGAAAGTAGATGGCGGTGACGAAGCCAAAGATGATGTTGAGGATGCCGGTAACCCAGATAAACAGCTTGGGGAACATGCGCGCCAGGAGCACGTAGAGGTAGCTGAGAACGATGGCTACTGCCAGCACAAAGGCGAACAGGATGATGGTACTCCTCGAGAGTGTGAATGCGTTACCATTGTTGATTCCCCCACCACCGGGTTCCGAGCTTGCTGTTATAACGAGTTAGCTGTGTCCCGAGCAGCGGAGAGCGCGAGGGGAACCTACAGTATCCGCGCAGCGAGATTACAGACACTACAATAAAGCCCAGGACAAAGACGATGAACTAGAATGCATGTTGTCAGCTTCAGGAACTCGGAGCATGCGCTTGACTTCCACCTTTTCAGCGAGCGATCACGACTAGAGCCGCCCGCCGTTTCGGAGCCAGTTATCACCCACCAGTATTCCAGCCCACAGATCGTTCCACTTGGGGCCACCCTGTACTTTGAACGTCTGATCAAAGGACTGCTTCTCGTCGGGGTTGAAATTGGGCGCGGCATAGCTCGGTGCGGATTGCTGCGGCGGCGGCGGGCCTGGGGGAGGCGGGCCCGGGGGAGGCGCTCCATAAGGCTGCTCGCCGTGCTGTGGTTGCTGGGGCGGAGGGTAGGAGCCGTACTGAGGTGGCTGCGGAGGGTAGGGGGGATACGACTGCTGCGGTGGCGGCGCCCCGTAGGGCTGTTGGCCGTAGTAAGGCTGTTGTTGCTGGTAATAGCCGTTGGACGCCATGTTTTCGCGCTGCTGGATAGAGCGTATGAGCTCTAGTTCTGTGTCCTGCTTGGGGTTAGCTGGCTGGTATTGATATGCCATTGTCAGGGACAGCAGGCGCGCGCCAGGACGACTATTCGGGAATCCGTTGAGTCGAGGCTTGAGGCGAGCTAGGGGGTGCGGCGGGGGTGGATAGGGCCAGGTAGGGCCAGGTAGGGTTGACGTGGACGAGGGCTTGTTTGCTCGTGCGCACCCCCACGACTTTTCGTTTCTCCTCAACCAGGCGGGATGTCCACGAAGGAGGTGAGATTGGAAGGCATGTCGCGTCTCGGCCGCACACGTCCCGACGGCATTGAAGATCACGAGAAAGGCTGAAACTTACACTGTATCTACTCGCTCACTGCGCCGCACTGCCGCACCGCGGCTTGCTTATGGCACCGTGTGCGTGCAGAGGATGCAGAGCTGGCGGTGGCCTCGCCTCCTGTGGTGGAGCGATGGGATGATGCGAGACCTTTTTGGGGGGGCGCTCGGTGCCAATGAACAGATAGGATCGAGGGCTAGGCCCAGAAGGATGAATATCGGGGACCAGCAGCAAGCAGCGTGGCAGCCCAAGAAAATGGCAGAATGGGAAAAAAGGAGGATTCGAGGCCTTGGGGGCGCACAAGATTGGCCGAGATGTTTGTTGGTTGCGGTGGCGCCCTTTGCGCATCAGTGCCGTCTCGTAGTGAGGAATGGAACCAATGGGTGCCTCAAAAGGTGGGTTCACAATGATATCATGATCAAATATTATTGCTTGCCGGCCCGCAAGTAGCACTGCCCAGAACTGCGCTTGTGCGTTTCTGGAAGTAAAAGGCTTGGCGCAAAACGGAGGCGCTGCGTTGCCCTTGGCAAGACCCATGCTGACGCGGCAGCCAATTGTCCAATCAGCCAAGCCCGGCTTGGCCCGATGAAGCAGGTCACCAAAGCCCCTGATAGATTCTCAGGGCACTGCAAAGAAGCATAAATTCGGCTAGTTATCCGAATCGTGGCCGCTTTTCCGCGACTCAGGAGATGGGCAAAGCCGTCGAGGTTGGCGTGCCTTTCTACGACCACTGTTGTTCGAGGCTAAGGAGATTGCCCACATCGTCAGTTTCCGGGCCGATCCGAGATTCTATGCAGTGCCAGGGATAATGTATCATCGCAAGAGAGTGCCTTGGTATTCAATATTCTGGGTACATTGCTTGCTAGGCTTTGCCTCTTTGTGAGTGAGTTGGTGCGAGGTTATCGAGGCATGTCATGTATGAGGTGACTGGCATGTAAAAGGCCTAGCATTTTAGTTTTTTAAGGTAGAAAGAATATGAGAATATAGGATACAAAGAGAATTTTATGAGGACCTGTCCCACACTGTCGATACTGTCAACTCAATTGATAGTATGCACTTTCACACGAATGGCTACATATATCGCCAGGCCCGTGAGTAGGGCATGCACAAAAAGACGCCAACACACGGTATATCATTGCTTATCAACTGACTCCATGACAAAGGGGAAGCTGATGGCGTGACTTCCAGTCCCAGTCACCTTGTTAGGTTAAGCGGAGCTAGTGGTGGCTGTCGGTGCGGGAGGAAATCCGGTGGGACCGCTTGGGGCGCCCGTCGGGCGACCAGTTGGAAGACCAGTCCGCGTGCGGGTGGGACGGCCGGTAGGGCGGCCGGGGAGACCAGTGCCACCAGGTCGGCCAGTAGGCATAGGACTACCAGTAGGTCTGGGACGGCTGGTGGGACGCCCGGAGCCAGTGGGACGCCCGGAGAAGGCATCGCTACCGGCATCGGCAGCGAAGCCGGTGGGAACCCCTGGGAAGTCGACACCACCACCACCACCAGGGAAACCGGTGGGACACATAGTGGGAAACCCCCCAGTGGGCAGTGGTCCGGTAGGGAACCCTCCGGTAGGGAACCCTCCAGTGGGCAAGCCTGACGGGAGGCCGGGGCGTCCGGTTGGGCGTCTGGTAGGGCGCCCGGTAGGCATCGAAAGCTCCCCGGTGGGAAGCGGAGAGCCTCCGGTCGTGGGCAGCGGGACGGTGGGAGACGGGAGGTCGGGCACTCCGGTCGAGAACTTGTCTGTTTGGTCATATTAAGGCGATGGTCAGTCTCTGATGCCTTGATATCATGACGTGGCAAGATGCACAGCTAACACGCGACGACAAACCAAAAGCCGACATGAGAAATGCAGGGACAAACATACCACCCTGTCTCTTTTCGAGTGGCACGGCAGCGGCCAGGACGGCGCAGAAAGCGGCAAAGATTCGGACGTGCATGTTTTCTGGCCGGAAGAAGTGAAAGGTTTGTTGAGTCTTTATGTGTCCGGGGCAGTCCTGTTGAAGAAGCGAGGGAAGGTATAGAATGGGAGAGAAGCAAGCTGCTTGGAGCTAGAACCGAGGAATACATTCTCATCGGAGACGAAGGCCTGGGCTTTATAGATGTGACTCGGGGCTCTTGGTCAGGAAGTACATGTTTGTACTGTTGCCCCCGAAGTGGCCGCCAGGCATCGCCTCCCTCAGCGTCTACGGTCAACCCCCGGCCGAAGGATCGCTGCCGGGCGGGGCTGGACCTTTGATTACGGTGTACATGTACATGAGAGAAGCAAGTCAGAAGATCACCGCAAGATCGTGTGCGCGGCGCATCTGGAGCCGCACGCCGCATTCGATTAGCGAGAAAGGGGTGGTGTTGTCGATGTGGTTCCAGATCCAGCCAGTAGCACTCGGAAGCCTCCCCTGCGAGCAAAGCAGCATGAAACATCGGCCCTCGCTCCGCCAGTATAGGAATCGAGAAGCGACGGCACAGCACTGGATGGGGATATTTTCCGCCGCGGGGAGGAGCAGTATGTCGAATGTTGATCACAATCAGAAACAGCTACCCAATGTGGCAGCACCAACACAAGATCCGTCTTCTATTTCCTAGTTGCACTTAAGCAGAAACAAGCCCATCCAGCGGGGCAACCCCTCGAGGAGCTAGAGTAGGCAGGGATAGAGCTAGCAGTTGGAAAGCCCAAACAAAAAAAGGGCAACATAACAGCCATTATGATATCACATGTTGAGCTTGGCGGTCCGCGAACCAAGGAAAATCGGCTCCGGGAGAAGGGGCAAGGGAGCCGCGGAGCTGGATGCGAAGGGTCAACGGATGCGGCCTCCACATACCTAGGTATTGCAATGGATGCAAGGGGGCATTAAGATTCTTCCCTGGAAGGGACGAAAAGCTGCAGACCCAAATGGAGGCAGCAGGGCCGCTGGCGATCCCTTCCCGGGCTAGGCACGCGGGACGGGAAGGCCCATCACTGATAGGGTGAAGTACCGGGGCTGGGCACGGCAGTGCTATATTGGATTATGTACGCGTCTATAGTCCGTGCCAGCATCACCGCCTCCCGGGTACAGCAAGCAAGCAAGACTAGGCGCGCCGTGCCCTTCCCCTGCCCCCTCCCCACGGCGGATGATGAAACGCGGACGCATGACATGGGGTCACTCATGCTGCCATTCTCTGGTTGAAATCTCTGCCCTGTCCTTCAAGAGTGGACGGCTGCCCAATGGAGCATGCTGTCTAGGAATCCCGCGTTGCGGCCCTTTGCCGATCCGCCCACATCGCGTAGATCCCCCGCCAATGAGTGGACATGCCACCATGTCAGTCAGGAAATACCAGTCCCCCGGCGACCGAGCTCTACTCTAAAGAGCTGTTCGGGGAGTTCAGAGGTCTTATGAGAGAGCCAGGATATCGGGATGGACAGGTTTCGTGCAAATTGAGGGACTTCCGTTTCTCGGAGTCTCGAGCGCCGTCAAATGAGATATGTGCAACCATAAAGTCGGATAATTCTAGCATGAAACTGACTACTCGTGCGGGCTAAAAGCGCCTGCAATTTAACGGTCCTCCGGAGTAAAGTGCGGCGGGGCAATTCGACGTTTTCGGGGCAATTCGACGTTTTTTCTGTAACACTTTTCCCTACCCAAATTAGCTAAAAACCAATGTATCGCCGAAAAAGGTAATAAGCCGCCCACCACTTTTTGCACGGTGCACAAAAGAATTAAAAGTAAAAGGCGTGGATTAAATTAAGCAAAAAATAAAATTATTTAAAGCAAATCCGTACCGGTTAAATTAACAACCGGTTTATGGTTTGGATTTATTTCCTTTTCGTTATTCGTAATTTCCGGTAACAAAATTTCGTACTTTTTCCGCAATATATTTGCTTGGAAAAAAAACGGCTAAAGCAAAATTAAAGCCGTACTTTACTTTTTAATAATTTCGTACAACCTTTCGAACCGTACTTTTATTTTTAGTCAATTATTTGCTAAAGCGTAT